GTACCAGAAGAAAACAGTCTCTTTAATAGAGAGAACATCCCAGATAGGACCTTTAGACATTAAAGAAAAGAAGTGACTCAAATCTTCAAAATCCGTTTTTGCTTTCCAGTCACATTTCTTTGGGGGTTGGGGAGGGGGGGTTGTCCCACAGAAACCTGGCAGCTCTCACCCTGAGCAGAGCAGCGCTGCATCTAAATGCTCTGAAGTTCTTTTCTTAAACTGTCCCCCAAAAGCCAAGAGGGGAGGTTTCATTGCTGGCATGTAAGCATGGTAGGGACGCAGCTGGGGCTCAGGCAAATCCTGGCATGCAAACCCAACAATATACATTAAAGGTTCCATAAAAGATTAGATAATGCCTGCTTGCTTATATGCCTAAACTTAGACGTCATTTAGCCATTTTTGTCTGAGGATTCTAAGAAGTCCTTGTGTAGACGGAAATTCAGCAGTGCACTTGTTGATGATGTACCTGATTGTCCGTGCTCTGAGGCTCTGAACACACATATGGTGGAATGTTAACCAAACAGAGGCGTTTTAACAATATAGTGGTATCGTAATCAGTGAGATGGCTTGGTATCATTAGATTGTGCTAGTTAGTCAGGCATGAAACTGGCACCGTTTGAGGCTTATATCCAGCACAGTGTGACAGTTTCACAGAGAAGTCCAGTGTTTCTCCCGTTTTAATTAACATAATGTGTCACAAATAAAAAATACATTTACAGATTTTTTGCCACACCGTTAAAACATGAGGGAGGCTCATATTTAACATGACCAAAGTTTCAAATATGTGCAAACAATCCCTGTCGTCCAAAAGCTCTGATTTCAGACACTTCTATTTATCTATATGAGCCAAAGGAACGCAAGGTGGGTGTTACCTTTTCCAGAATGACGATATCATTATAGAGTAATCTCAGGCACTAAAGCCCCACCCACCTGCTGTTCAGGTCTGCTTATGAGGGCCAGCCAATCAGAGTAAAGTTGGCTCAAAGGTCGGGTGGCCTTTCAGAGAAAGACGCTTGAACAGCTTTTCAGGTTGAAAAAAGGATTATTTTGAACTGTGAATCATGCAAAGCTACGCTAGAATAAAAATATTATTAGAACATTAGAATAACCGTAATTGGTCCCCTTTAACTCAGCCCAATCTGAAAAGCAAAGGCAGTCCTGTTTGCAGCTGGTGAACCATATCAAACAGGAGCATTCCAGGTTCGAACTGCGTAAAGAGAGTACATTTATAAAGCAGTTGTAATTGCAAGTTACCGTCACCACGCAGGAGCGCGGAATTCCCAACTTTTTTAAGAAAGGGAAAAAAAGCAAAACATTATTTTAACAGTATCGCAACTTTCCATCTTTGTTACCAGCAACTTCCCGTGTAAAACAACCTATTATCTATTATAACTTAATCATTTTAAACAGCTGTAACGTGGAGAATATTCTGGAACATGGTAGAGTATTTAAATACACTAGGGCTGCCACGATTAGTCGACTAGTCACGATTA